ATTTTAATAATTATTTTGGCTTATTTTTATAATTTATTTTAAATTTGAATTTTCTGTTTCTATTAATATTTTAAACTAATGTGGCATTAGGTTAAAGTCATCCAACTTGATGGTCAACCTACGTATCGATGCTAGTTATCAAAATAGTTAGCAATTTTTGACATGATGGGAATTTTAGAAAATTCTGGCCAAAATAGTTCATAAGTGTATAAAAGGGCAAACTAAGGTATAAACCCAAATAATAATAAAAAAATTTGAAAATTTATATTTATATAATTTATTAAAATTATCTTTTATTAATTTTCAGGCTACATGACATCCTTGTCAGCAATATGTATTGACTCACTAACGGTCAATAGTGTTCACTGTCCAACTTATGATAAACCTACGGATCATGCAAAAGTAGACAAACAGTGTAAAGTTTGGGACATTATGAAGATTTTTTAAACTTCGGTCAAAGTAGTCTATTAATGTAATATTCTACGACTTTGGTGCAGATTGCTCGAGACAAAAGCGATTTTACTCAAATTCCTCCTTACAGATGCGATTTAGCTAAATCGATGCAGACTCCAGCGATCTAGCTCCAAAATATTTGGAGGCACCGTCACACCTAATATTAATCGAAAGTTCAGAATGTCGGAACTTTGTGTTCAATTATCCGCTCGATGCATTTTTTTATTTCACATAACATTTAGAGATATTCCCAATAGCGAACTGTTGCACAACTTTCACTCCAAATACGTTCGCGTTCTACCCAAATGGGTCATTTTATGGGTTTGCTAAATTTTGGATAATCATAACTTTGCGCTCGATGATTCGTCAAAATAATTTTTTTGAATAATTTTATCACACAATACAACTTTTACTATGGATAAATGTTCAAAGATGGCAGGTTTTTCAATTTTAAGGGAGGATAGTTTTAGATTTTTTTTCATCTTTTCGCATATGTTCTGAAAAACGTCTATAATAAATATTGTAGGCCTTGAAAAATTAGGTAAATTAAAAATAATAATTGCGTGGATCAGATAACTAAGCTCAAATTTACAATCGTCCTAAGTTTAGGAAAATTACAAAATGAATCATTTAGGGCAGCAGATTGCTCTTTTTGGAGAAGAAGGCAAACATGGCGGTTTTCAATTGCCAAAATCTCGAAAAATTGTGTGAAATAAAAAAGGCAAAATATATTTTCATAGCCATAACTATTCGGGTTGTGACAATAATAGCCACATTTTGAAAAATACACAGATATAGCCATTCCGTCAAAAACTTTAACGGTACATTCACAAATGTTGACTAGACAAAGGATTTATGGTGATGTGGCAACTTTTTTTCAAACCTACTGCCAGTTGGAAATGTTTACTTTATAGTGTAAATACATGAGAAACAAAAGAAAATTTAAATAAAAAAAGGAAATTAAAACAAAAGAATTCATCAGTCTTCTTCGCCTTCCTTTAATCTTCCATCCACCCGCCCATATTAGGTTCTTCGATCTACCCTAAAATTGAACTTCGGCGAGTGCACAAGAATTGGGGAAACAACACTAATCGGAACAAAAATTCAATTGCGAAGCCTGAACTCGTTTATGAAGAAACAAAAACAGAGGAATCCCTCTTGTTGCTCCGGCTGCGAATAAATCCGGGGTTGTTGCCGGGACAGAATTGCTGGTTTCGGGACTCCCGCTCAAGACCTCGAAGGTGACCAGATCTGTGCATATGTCAGAACTACGACAAGTACATAGGCCTTCCACTGGGCATATTCTCTGCAGAGCAGAGTGCTTCTCCCTACCTGCGATTACAACCATCCAGTATCCGCCGCCAAACGATAGGCCTTCCATCGCCATTAAAATGGAGTGAATATCAATGCGCCTCCCCCACGAGGCTGTGAGTAGTTGTAGCCGACACAGGGCAGAGTAGGAGAACGACGAAGCAGTGCTTCGCTGCCGCCAGATCTAGACTCCCACCCAGCGGCGCCTTCTTTGGCTTGTGATTTTTCTTTCCCTGTTTTCAATCGAATCTGGGAATCTCGACCACACAGAGGCGGGTCAGATTAGAATGGGGTTGGGATTTATTGGGAGGCGATACGACCCAAGGTGAAGCGAGGGGAGGGAGTCGGAAGAGTGATGGTGATGGTCGAGCTTGAAGGATATAGGGTTTCGAAGGAAGACTCGGAGATAGTCGAAGAAGGGGATATCGGGTTTCAAAGCAAAAGAAGTTGATTGTGGAAGAACTCGACGGAAACAATGAACAAAGAAATTGATCTCACTGGAATGACGAGGCAAGAAGGATGCTGAGGCAAGAAGGGATCTCACTAGATCGAAGAAAAATTCTGGGAAATTTGGGTTGGAACCCTAATTTATGATTTTTTATTTTTTATTTTAAAATTAAAATATGAGATGGCAGTCAGTTGGTGTGACATGGTAAGTTAGAGCTGATATGGAGGCTGATGTGGCATCCACATCAGTATAATGCCAACGTTATTGACGGAGTCATTGATGACGTTAATGTTATTTACGAAGTGGCTAAATTTGTCATTTTAGTTTTAAAAGTGTGGCTATATTTGTGTATTTTTCAAAATCTGGCTATTACTGTCACAAAGTGCATACTTATGGCTATACAAGTGTATTTTGCCAATAAAAAACTGTGTATCGATCGGATACGCGGCCGCAAAATGACGGTCGTTTGAAGTTTCCACGTATATAATATGCAAATCGCTAGAACATCCATCGGTTTTGAAGATACTTGCTAGTAGATGTGGCGATTTCGGTAAATCACATTTCTTCACAGTGATTTGAGTAAAATCGTTTTAGATTCTAGCGATTTTGTACCAAACTGGTATGTTTTGAAAATTTTAGTTTAAGTTATGTATTATGGATTTTTTGTTACCATGTCTGGTATTTTGAGGAAAATTATTGTCTTTCCTGAGTAATCCCATTGACTAACTAATGACCGAGTTGGTTTTATAAAGGGTTAATACCTTATTTTGATTCAAATTATATCCAAATTTTCTATTATGGTCGGTGGTTTCTGAAATTGCTCCACTAGCCCGAACTATGCACCATACTTCCATGTTTGACCGAGCGTGGGTTTTGACCGTCAAATTGGACAGTCAACTTCATTGACCGTTAGTCAAGCGCCATGTCACTTGCCACGTCAGCGAACCCCATATAAAAATTTTGGATTTTAAATTTCTGACAATAATAATTTTCGTTATCTAATAAACATAATCATAATTATTTCCATTATTTTCTATAAATTCAAAATCCAAAATATTATTTCGAGTTCGCTGACGTGGCAAGTGACATGTCGCTTGACTAACGGTCAATGGAGTTGACCGTCCAATTTAACGGTCAAAACCCGCATCCGGCCAAGAAAGGAAGTATGGTGCATAATTCGGACCAGAGGAGCAATTTCAGAAACCATGGGCCAAAATAAAAAGGTTAAATATAGTTTAGTTCAAAATAAGATATTAATCCTTTTATAAACCATCCCATTATAAAAAAAGAACATGGCGATTTGCTAAACAAACATTACTGATAGCAATTCATGTGTGTTTATGAAGGTAACAGAGGAAAGACTTGCAAATGAATGAGGTATTGTATTTAGTATTTTACTATTTAGTTATTGGCCAAATACACTTGTATAACCAAAATTTTGACGTTTTTGCCAAATATAGTCACTTTTGGCGAAATACCAGAAATAGCCACTTCCGTCCAATTATTTGACAGTTTTAGTTAACGTGCTGACTGGACTAATAGAACGACTGACATGGCGACATTAGTTAACAACATTGCCATGTGGATTTAACTAAAAAAACAAAATTAAAATTAAAAAAGTTGTCCATCGTTCACGTCTCCCTTGCTCCATTTATTAAACCATTCATGAATTTAATTGTAAAATAAAACAAAAACAAAAAATAAATGATAAACAACTATACGTCGTACGCGTCCCCCATCTTCCCCAATCTCTCAAAGAATTATCTCTACAAAAAATTGCCTCTCTCTCCGCTCAAACCCACCATTGCCAATCGCCTCCTCTGATCTTCCACCTCTCTCTTCCCTCTAATCTTCTCTCACATCCGAAAATCATCCCACACCACCTGTTCACCTTCTTCCCAATTCGCCTCACCTTCTTCTAGATCTGTTTCCACCGACGGCACTCCGACAATCCCTGGCGAAAGAGAGATCCCTCACGGCCTTCCCTCGATGGCGAAGACTGATAATTTGGGCGAAGACCGGCGCTGGGCGACGATCTGGCGAAGATCAGACGAAGTGGGTGAAGACTGGCGTTGGGCGACTATTCTTCTATCCCTGGCGAGAGGAAGAAGATAAAAGGGGTTTGGATTTTTGTTTTTTGTTTTTAATTTTGATTAATGAAATCCCCCCACTCCTAGTCCCCCACAATTTAGGTAGGTTAAAAAAAATACTTTTGTAAATGATGTGTCATCCATCTGTCACTGAATGCTGAGGTGGAAACGAAATAGAGGGTGAGTTGGCATCCACGTAAGCGTTCCGTTAATTTGACTAACGGGGTCACTGACGCTGTTAAATTATGTAACGGAAATTGCTATATTTGTCATCAAACTTTCAAAATTCTGGCTATTATTGGTATTTCTCCAAAAATGGCTATTATTGTCACAAAAGTCAAAGTTTTGACTAAGATGAATTTTGTCTTAGTTATTTTGAAGTTTTGCGCGACTACAAAAAATTGAAGCCAACCTCTACACCTATAGACGCAAATAGACGGAGATGCTAAGTAAATGAAAAGGTTTGGCAATACCTTTGGACAAGAGTCAAAGTGATCAGATGCGTAATCATAATGATGTATGGGCTGTATTTAATCGACAAATGACCTTTCAAGCATGAACAGGGGGGAAAAGATTATCAAAATATCTTGTCTTCACAGTTTAATGACACCATCTGCATTACAAAATCAGCGGGAAATGATGAATTCCACATCAAAGGATCAACCCACTTTTGCATAGCCACAAACCAACTCCAGAGTGCTCTTCTGTTCTGCAGATGATAAAAAACCACAAACAAGAAATATGAACTTGCTCGCATTGACAAAAGAAAGCGCGCCACCATGGTAACATAAGGTTTTCAAGATTTCATCATCTTATATACTCGGACTCAAGGGGACCAAATCCTCCTCATACTGTGATTCAACATCCAGCTTGGCCTTTTTGTATCTCTTTTTTGTACTTTCAGGAGTTGTGTCCAGTGAGGAGCTACACATTTAAGCAAGAACACCATAATCTCATCAAATGAACATAGCTAATCTAGGCTTCTTCACATGATCCCATAAAAAAGGTAATTGTACTTACTTACAATGATGTCTTCATGCCTTCTTGACCACTAATACCATTTCTCTTCATGCTGTCGAAAACTGAGAGATCGGGATGCGTCCCCGGGGAGCTGGCAGGTGATTGGTTGAGTGGATATGGAAAATGATATCTTTCCAACCCATCACCAGATGAATTACTCTTGGATAGTGTAGTGATCCTGCAACCACCGACTTCTGATGAACCATGGCACCAGAACCTCTCCCACCTTTTTGATTGATCCCTATTACCACTTTTGATGTGGGAAGTATTTGTCGGACTATCAGAATGATGATGCTCTATGGCCTTCTTTGGCTTAACACTATTTTGACGAGTCGGAGCACTTGATTCTTGAGTCGCTTCACAGTGAGGTTTTCGATTATCTCCTTTAGCAGATGACGGTTCTGGTTTCTTCTCCTGAGGAATTGCTTGGGCTTCAAGTTCCTCCTTCGAAGTTGGAGGCCCAGGTAACTTTGGAGATATCTCATGCAGGTTTACCACTTTCACTTCCCTTTTCTCTTTACTTTTCATTTGAGACCAAGCTCCAGTGACCTCACTAGGGTCTGCAGTCTTCTGACTCTGGTCTTTAGGAATGAAATAAGATCGAAAGTTTACTCCGTCTCTCTGGCATTTTCTGTATCACTAACAACCTTATCTGAAAGAGACCTAATCTCTGCTCTATCTAAGAAGTCTTTGCAACTCGGATTTTCCAAATTGGTATCATAATTGAATCTAGAAGAATCAGTTCCATGAATGTTGACAGTGTAAGGAGTTGGAGTAATTTCATTAGTGCATATGTCTTCTGCTTGTGTGAGTAGTGCATAATTCTTACCATCTGCACCATGTTTCTTCTTTGTTTTCTTCCTCGGTTTGCCTTCTTCGTTTTCTACCACAGGTTCACTTTTTTTGGTTGGCTGTGCAGATTCCATGACGTTATTTATAACCTCCTCTATTTCCTTATTTGTAACCAAAAGAGAAGCCCTCAGACTATTAGCTGTCGCTGCTTCTTTCACATCTCCCTTTTTAGAAACTTCATGAATAGAGCTCTCAGCCTTGCATACTTTCTCGGCTTCTCTAGATGGAATATCAGTGGCATAATAATCCGTAACATGATCAGCTTCTAAAGGAATTGGTATTGTTCCACTCATGCGTACCGTATGTCTTCTGGATTTCTTTCTTTTCTTTTCTTTAAAGCTTTCCCATTATCCACAAATGGATCAACCTTGCATACCATAAAATCAACAACTTCTTTCTGCACATTTGCAGAAATTGTCTCATGGACCTCTTGTTCTGTTTCAACTCTACTCCTATCATTGGTTATTAGTTCTTGAAACTCATTGATATTTGAACCAAACACCAGTTTCAATATCATATATCTATCTAGCAAATGTAGAAGCAAGCATCACTTAGCAAAGCTCAATTGGGAAATGGAGATACCTTGTGAAAGAATAATGTTATGTTGCTCTTGAGGAGGATCAGGGTCCTTCTTCGTCAAAGAAACAGCAGAAGGATGCAACACATTGCCACTGTCAATTCCAGCTTCCTTTAGATGTATCTCTTTACCAGCATTGGCCTCATCAGGAGTTAATCCAGCAGTTTTTCTATCTACTTTCTTAGAAGACTTCGTTTTTCGTTTCTTCTTCACCAAGCTTCGGCTAGCCAATTGATCGAATGCTTCCACAGAGCCAGCATTTGGAATTTTCAGAGTAGAAACCACATTTTGTTGCTCATCTACTGTAGATAGCTGAGATATAACAGGACGCTTACAAGTCATTCCACTAAATTCCAAAACAATAGTGCTGCTATCTCTTAAAGAAGCTTCATCGTCTATCTCCTTTCCGGTTTTAAGCCTCTTGTTTGCTACATGTAGATGGTGTAAATTTTCCTCGATTTCATTAACTATAGAACCCTTGGATCCATCTTTGGAAAATTCCACATGTACCACTTGAGCTTCAGATTCCTCAGCTAAAGAAATTACCCCTCCAGTTTGTATACCAGCAACATTTTGGTCTGAGATCTGCACATTGCCAACAACCAATTCACTTTTTGGTCCAAATTTGTGCATTGACACATCAACGTCTTTACCAGAAAGATCATCTGCCCCCTTTTTGCTTCTCTTCCTCTTCTCACGTTTATCTGCCCCCTTTTTACTTCTCTTCCTCTTCTCATGATTTTCCTTCACACCAGAAGCTCTTTCTGGCAATATGCTGCCTGCATCAATGTTAGCCAACTCCTTCCCCATTTCTGCTCTTTCAACATGCATCTCCTGAGCTTCTTCTTCATCACATTTCTTCTCTCTGAGAGATTCATCACTAATCAAGGGAACCAACGAAAAAACTTTGTCACCTCGTACATCTCCACCCACAAGTTGAACTCCCCCAGCAACTTCAATAAGAAGGTCATTGCTCTCCTTTTGAGGAACTTGTAATTATCTTTCGGGTATGACATGGTGACGCCCATCTATCATAACATTTGCACCTTTATCCTCGAAACCATTATTCATGGTCACTAAGGCAAATTTGGCCTCTTTAGGCTCAATCTCATTATCCTTAGAAACAATAGAAGCTTCAACACTAACAAACCAACCTTTCTTCACCCCATCAAAGACACTTTTAAGAAGAATTGACTCTGCCAAATTATAGTAAACCCCTCTCTTTTTGACCTGCGCAATTCCATACCACAAAGGACAGCCATTTCAGAAGCGACCCATCAGAGAATAAGCGACATATAGTAAAAGAGACAAAAACGGTTCATACCTTCAATGCGTCAATTTTTATTTCTCCAAACTTGGGGAAGCACAGGGGATGCTTGTCCAGAATTTTCTCTGCAATTCCGCAAATGGACCATAAAAAAACAGTTGTGAAGTTCATTACGATCATATCGTTGCAACTGATAATGTTGGTTTGATGGAAACAAGACGTGCGATGGAATGAGGGATTACTCTTGAGATCGGCGACGGTGTTGGATGGAGAGACTACCATGTCCAAGGCCAAGTGAGTATCGAGGCTGGTGTCGAGGAAGACGTTAATGTAGGAATCTGGAGCGCCCCAGTGTCCGGTGACCGGGATCGGCGGTTCATCCATCGCCGATATTGTTCAAGAACAGAAACTGAACCAAGAAAGGGCGGGAACACAGGCTTCGACGGCAGCGGCGATGAGTAGGGTTCAGGGTTTGTTCTCTTTCAACCAGCTTCTCGTGAATTGGCGGCAGAAAAGAAAGAATGAAAAGAAATCAATAAAAAAGAACCGCTAAACCTTAAACTAAATCGAAGAGAGGGTTGAATGGCCAGCGTAGTGATGTGTGTCAGTGCGTGAGCCCAAAATTTTCATGAGCCTGCTTATGGCCCAGTTTGGGTAATACAAAATTATAACTTCGTGCTTACATTCATTTAACTCAAGGGTGGAAACCGTGGTTATCTAAGAATGAAAATTATGATCAGCAAGGTGGTCGACCCCCGCCCTTCATTATCTAAGAATGAAAACTATGATCAAGGGTGGAAACCGTGGTTATCTAAGAATGAAAATTATGATCAGCAAGGTGGTCGACCCCCGCCCTTCATTATCTAAGAATGAAAACTATGATCAGTAAGGTTGTCAACTCGCGGGTCGACCACCCTGCCCAGATGAGAAAAACATGCCGCAAGCACCTGCCGGGTCGACCGTTACAAGGTATCGGGTTGGAATGCGCCTATTTTCTGATTTTTCTTTTCGCCTAACTCAATCTTTGGAATCCTAAGTTGAACATTTGAATATTGATGTTATATAAGTGTGTGAATATTCACTATATGTTGGATCTAAGTACGATATGGTATTTTGGTGTAATATTATATGTTATAACTCACTAGTACTCAGCCCGCGCTCCGCGGCGGGGTAAGTCTGGCTTCAGTTATTTTGCGATTCTTCTATATGACACGAATGGTCTTTTATCTGTAGGCCTAAAGTATCTTCGGGTTGGGCTCGAAATCATTTCATTATCATAAAAACGTAAAAAAACGGGTCCTCAATTTTGGCGAGTGGCTAAGGGCGAAGCCGCTTGGGCCTTAGTAAATCCAATATGTTAGCATATGCCCAGAAATTTTAGTGGACCTGTGATGTTTGCAATTTCTGAGGATTAACAAACTATTTGATCCATTATTTAGCCGATTATACTTCTTGACTTACAGCAAACTATCTATGCAACCCTGAAAAACTGATTCCCACAAAGAAAATGAGCTAGACATGTAATTGAGGCAAGCCATTGACCTCTTTGGATTCACATGGTTGCATCAGGGTATTGCTGTAATCCTACAAAACACATAGTTTTTGTTAGGAAAATTTGCTGGCAAAAGTGTCGAATAGCTTGTTCAATTTAATGAACTCACCTGATATATGGTTTAGGTGTTCATAATATCAGCAAAGGCCTCGGTGAAGACTATGTTCTTTGTAAAATCGTAGGGTATTTCTGTTGGGTTTTGTATAAGAATCCTCAAACCTCTCGCTGATTTTACTCTTGAAACTCCCACATACAGCTGGCCGTGGCTAAATACGGGTTCAGGCAAATAAATCCCAACCTTTTCAAGCGTTTGTCCTTGACTTTTGTTTATAGTCATCGCGTAACATAAGCGTACCGGGAACTGCCTCCTCCTGAGTATGAAGGGCCACTTGGAGTTCTCTACATTGAGTACTATTCTTGGTATAATGACTTCGTCAGTGTCGTAGGAACCGCCCATGATGTTGCCTTTTATAAAATTGTCCCCTAATGTTGTGATCATGATCCTTGTGCTGTTGCATAAACCAAGGGCAGGATTTAAGTTGCGCAAGAGCATAACTGGTGTGCATACCTTTAATGTAAGCTCGTGTTCTGGAACTCCATTGAATGTGAGAATGTTGAGGAACTCTGTTGGATAGCTTTCGTCAAACAAATCCGCTGTTTCTGTTGATAACTGCAATGAATCTGAACTATAATATGTTTTAGAATTGCCTGGTACCCTTTGCAACATATAGTTGTTGATTCTAGAAACTGTCGCATTCGTTGGCGTCACTATTGCTCTGCTGGTTAGGTATGCTGGATCCCTGTGACTGTCGGGAAACGAATCATATATATCATCTGCGATTGACTGGACAGAGTCATCCCCGGGATCAATTAGGAACAGTGGTGGAATTTGTATCCAATCTGGTGGCCCATCTTCTCTGAACGATCTTGCTCTAAGTCTTCCATCTCCTAAGGAAAGGACCCAATCTGGAAACGTATATCCATGCATTAGTTGTTGATCAGCAGAGTGGACCGCTGTTATGCGCATGTTTGTCGATAGGCACATCACTTTAAAAGTATTCCATAGCTTGGACCTAGTTAATGAGCCATCAATCGTCTGTTCACGTCCAGCATCAGTTATCACTGGGAGTGTTTGGCGAAAATCTCCACCAAAGAGAACTGTCTTCCCTCCAAAAGGTTTATAATGATGTCCATTCAGTGGAACATTCAATATGTCGCACAAGCTGCGATCTACTACCTCGAAAGCCTATCGATGGGTCATTGGTGCTTCGTCCCAAATGATTAAGGATGCTTCTTTTAACAGGTCAGCTAGATCTGTTCCGTGTTTAATAGGACATGTCGATGTTGCATCTAGAATCAGAGGAATTTTGAACCTTGAATGTGCAGTGGTTGCTTTGGGAAGTAGTGTTGCTGCTATGCCCGATGATGCAACCAGTACAACTATCTTCCCCAAACTTCTGAGTTTTGCTGTAATGACATTATAGAGATACGTTTTGCCAGTACCTCCGTGACCATATAGGAAGAATGCCCGGCCCATCTTGTTGAGGACTGAATTGATGACAAATGTATATACATTAGTTTGCTCAGGATTCAATGAATGCAGCATAGAGGTTGCTAGTGCACGCTGCTCGTCTGTATCGAAGGCCAGATGCTCGTTAATGAGTGGGTTCTCTCCATCACCATGTGAACCATCAGATGGGTTTGGGAGATTAAAGTCCTCAAGTGTCATTGAATGAGAGCTCCACATAGCCTGCAATTCACAAAGTACCCAGTTCTGTAATCGTTCATTAGTGGGTTCCTGGGTTTGGTCTCTGAGATCTTTGGCTAACCTATATGCGTAATCTTCAGCCATTGATTTCCATGATGAATTGAATAGAGCTGCTGGACTTGGAACTTCGCAGAACATTAGCATTGACACGAAAGTGCTTCGTATCACCCGTGGCATGCTGGAAGTCGAAATATCGGATAAAACACGTATCCATTCTGAAGTATCTGATAACAGACCCAGTTTTTCACAAGCTTTTTCAAAATCTGGACACAGTTCTCCATTGACAGTTCTGAGATGAGCATAACTGAGAGCGCCACGGACTTTTGTGAGCACCATTCGGAGGAAAAATACGTCGCCAGAACCTGGCGGAACATATGCAACCCTCCCTATCGCAAATCCTTTTTTGCGAGGGTTCCATTCTTTACAATCAGGAAGCCAGGTGTAATTATTTGGTATCTATGCATATGTCGGGACTCTTGCCTGAGGATCCCTGCGATTAAGAGCAAACCATTCTGTCAAGTGTGTCTTTCCGACATTAGGATTCCCCAAAACATTTCGCACATTGGATTGTTTCTTATAAGGTACTTTTTGCTGACCATCCAAGTGAACTCCCAAACGCACCACTGATGGTTCTCTTACATGAATTGGATACTCATTAAGCCTCCATATGGCTTCATAAGCTGATAGCGATCGGCAGTCTATGTACTGTTGGATTTCATCTCTGTGCTTCTCAGATTGCATTTCTGGATTATTTTGCGGTGCATTAGCGTTTTCAGCAATAACCAATGATCTGTCCGGCCCTTTTGTCACATATTTAAAGATATACTTAATAAGTTTACCTTTGTGACATACCTCAACATTTATATGAGCCTGCATTCTGACCAGCAAATCCCTGTTGTATGGAACAACATGTCGATTGTCAAGTACTACACTTCCCTTTTGAACCTCGACGCCAGTGTTTGATCTTCTATAGACTACATTTCCGAACTTGTCAAATGTTGTGGCTGAGTTGAACTCCTTTGGGAATTGTTTGCAACATTTTCCCTTGGCGCGTTTTTTCTTATCTCGCATACATGGTGCATTTGTATTTGCTTCACCGCATGGCCCGTGCAACATGAATTTACAGACAGCTTCATATCCAACTGGATCTTGTTGAGGGTCTGGAATTTCGGTTGAGATTACCTCGTCAATGTCGGCTGATGTCCTCAGTTTATTCTCTTCAGACAACCAAACCAACAGATGTATATGGGGCAAACCCTTTTTCTGAAACTCCAATGTATACATGACTGTGGCAAAATTAAGAAAGTTAAAATTGCGAATATACAAATGTGTATTTTGGAAAGCATTGAACGGGCTAAACTTGTATATTGATATTAAATGAGCAACCTATACTTACTTGCAATTGTTTTCCCAAAGTAGGAGTTTTTCTTAATGTCATCTATGAGAATGCTTAGCTTAGCGTGGAAAACCCTTGAAACCACCATTGGTTTATCTGAGTTGTTTGGACCAACAACATCACGAAAGGCTTCGGTGATTTCTTCCCACAATGAATTACAGGTGAATGTGATGAATAAATCAGGGTTTCAAAAGAATTCGACCACTGCCATAGCATCATGATACAGTTGTTGCATATATCGCAGACTGCCTATGTAGGTGCCCGGGAGTACAATATGGCCCATTTTATCTCCGTCAAGATCACCCCGTGCCATCGCATCCTGTAATCCTTGATAAACCTCCGCTCTAAGTTGTGGCTGATGACAGCGCAGAAAAGCCAGCCTGTTTAGTTCTATCGATGAGTAAGCGTCAATACAAAAATGCTGAAGAGCTTTCCCATCCTGAACAATTGTGTGTCCTTCGCCATTGCGATACTGAAGCCTGAATCCATAGTACTCACGCTGAGTAACAAACTGCCTCCGCATAAAAGGCGGGCAGAAAGCTGACCTGTATTTGATTAGTGGATGATAACCATCATCTCCATATGGAAATAAAAGAGGGAAATGTAACGCATCAGATTTTGGATTGAGACTCGTGATCCTCTTCAAACCCTCATAGACATGATCAACTATTATATCGCGATCATCTCTGTCTGGTAAGAAATCACCTGGTATAAGCGCTACAACCTCAGTGCTGCTAGGCAAATCATATTGCCGATTCCTGCTTTTCGCTCCAAATATTCGTAGCTTCAAATTCGTTGTCGAAGAATCCTGAAGTTGCTGCCGAACTCGCCTAAAGGTTTTGACGAGTTGATTATGTTGATCCAGCATTTGGAGCAATGAAGTGAGCAGCTCTGGCATAAGTAGACCATCACGTGATGCGAA